CCGGCATTTCTAAAACTTGCGTTAAAACTCCTGATCAAATACTGCGTAGGGTCCTACTTAAATCTTGGCCGCCACTTTGTAACAATATGTACATGTGCAATGGGATTCTTATTTTAGCGTTCTCTCAGAACATTTACAGGACAACAGACAACACCACACAATGTAGACAGTACATTGCAAAACAGTAAATAATAAATAGTGACAGCAGGAACAGACAATAATCAAACAGAACAATAAATGCTTGGTAAGTAAAAGGTGCAGAGGTCAGTGAAATTCTGATGCACTGCACAGTTAGCTGTTAAGGATGCCCACTGCCGTAGGGTAGAAGCTGTTATTAAGCCTAGAACTCCGTACTTTAAAGGCGTCATACCACCTGCCAGAGTGTTTGTTGTAGTCTGTACTAGTTTGGGATGGCTGGGAACCTGAATAATGGATTGGGCATCATTGTGATTTTGGGCATCACAGGGATGAGCAAGATGAAGACTATCAAAACCACCACAGAGGCTGCAGAAAGAGCCGGAAGATGGCTGTGGATGAAGAGGAGCGATCTGTCTTGGACAATCCCAGTTGGGTCACCTGGGTGAGGGTGTCTGATGTTGAGAAACCCAAACCCAAACCACTCAAGGACCCCAGGTAACTGATGATGTGTCCAGGTACATCAGTGGATGTATCTTTCAGCACTTCTTGCTTTTTTCATTTCCTCTTTGCTTTGGGTATTGAGGTGTACTCTAGGACCCTCCATAATCAGAATGGAACTGAATCATTATTTTGGAAGTAATAATCACAGATGAAAATGAAAACAAAAGGATGCTGTAGTTTGGCAGCTGACAGATGAGGTATTAAATATGAGGCTGTGAGTGTCAGAGATTATAAGCTTCAGGAAGAATCTGCTGTAGCAGCCAGAGATAAGTAATGTACTGTATTATTCACCCCTTTTAAGGCAGTGAGTGGAGAGCACAAACAGAACATTGACAGTGAATTACCAGCAATTAAATGAAATGAAGTTGAGGTCCCCTGCTAGGGTAACAGATTTTCATTCAATAATGTAAGAAATATCTCCTGAGATCTCATATGGACTCTGTGGCATTTCAGTAAAAAAAAAAACAGAACTAATGAAAACTGATCTGTAGCACAGGTTAAGGAATAGTCAATATTTTGAATGTAGCAGCTATATTAAAGCAGTAAATACAAATTAGGAGCTAGGGTACTCTGTTCCAATTACCAAAGGAAGGGAAAGCACAGTGTTCCTCCTTCTTATGGTATAGTACGATATATAACTAAAACCAGTACAAAAGGAAATCTATTTTATTTTGCAGACACCCTTAAAACCACATACAGTTTGCAGAATAATAACTTTTTCTACGATTGAAGTAGCAGAATGTTGCAGGTCATCAAACTCCACATTGCAATACACAGAGTGATGTACTGTAATGAAACAATAAAACAGAATGCGGAATGCAAAAGTAATAATGTGTTATATAATGTTGGTGGTCAGGGTTTTTTTTTTAAATGCCTGTATTGATTAGTACTCACTTACTGTGGAAAAGGACTGGTTGCACTGAAATTGCTAGACAGAGAGGGTGTCGATGGATTACACAGCCTGGGATTTAAGTAATCAGCGAAACAAATGGATCTATGAAGTGCAGGCCTTTCTTTCAGGCCTGCAGCACTGCAAATGTTTTTTGAACCTGTTTAAAAGCAAGTTTCTTTTGGTAAACATTGTGATAAACTATTTTAGAGCTGATGTTTGTTTTCCTTTTTTTTTTCTCCAAAACAGTCTAGTTCAAGTTACTGCCTTGGAAGGGACTAGTCTACTGTAAGTGAAACAAAAAAACACAATATGAACGTACCAAAGAAAATCTGCTTTATGAGTCACAATATCAGTGTTAATGAGTAGCAGCATAGAGACTATGTATACTGTATGTAGTACATAAGTGTTGATTGCTGGGATAGGCTCTCACTCTCCCACGATCCTGAGTTGGATGAAGCAGCTGGAAATGGGATGGATGGATAATTAGGCCAAGTGCACTAGCAGGTAATTTCCTGTGTTATAAAGTAAAAAGGCAAATATGATTATTGCGTGCTTAGGGAATTGTGACTTAATCAGTACTTCGAGATATTCACATTTTACAGGGAAAGAAAAGTGGATAAAGTTTCCCAGTGATAAAGACCACACTTTCTTGGATTGAAGTGCAGGAACATTTTCTACGTAGATCATTTTAATATCGTTTCTTGTTATTTATTTTGTTCCTGGGAAGTCACGGGGCTAGGCGGCTCATGGAGGAGGAATCTGTTTGTAGCCGTTGCTATGAACCACGCTGTATTTGGAAAGGTGATCTGGGCCACCTCACGTTTACCAGCAGATCTGTCACTCTGATCCCCTGCTTCCTACGCATGGTAAAGCAACCCAGCAGAGAGGGCAGCTGCAGCACCTACAGTAGCATGCAGAACCAGTGAGCTCTGAAAAAGGTCCTGTTGCTTTTCAGAATTGTCTCGCATAACATTTCAATGGTATGTCACCCATACCTTGAACTGGGAAAAAAAACCAAGTGACTTGCTATTACAGAACGGTTAACATACTTTCAAGGTCATGAGCCTTCACAGTTTTTCTTCTTTCCTTCGGTTTTCTCAACACTTCTTGCAATTCAGGGTTGCCGGTGAGCCGGAACCTAGCCCAGCAAGCAACAGGCGCAAGACAGGGTACAGCCTGGACAGGATGCCAATCCATTGCAGGGCAGACTCACAGACACGCCAGGGCCAATTTTCCCAGGAGTTAATTATAACCTACCAGTAAGTCTTTGGACTGTGGGAGGTAACCAGAGCACCCCTAGGAAACCCATGAGAACACTCCTTGCAGATAGGACCGCAGGTCCTGAACTGAACACAAGACCCCTGCACAGCGAGACACTCATCCTAACCACCACGCCACCAAGCTGCCCCTGTTTGACTTTTCTCTTTAAAAAAAATAGTCTGGAAATACCAATTCTCTGCTTAAGATACCTCCCAGCTGGAAACAAGTTAATGAAATTAAAACAGCACTGAGCCATTAATAACATAGATTGCAACAACGCAACACTGGATATCACTACAAAAATGAGAAGTGTTAATGATTCACAAAGTAATCACGGCCTTTGCGAATGATGAGAGCAATGAAGAGACACTCACTTCTTGGCAGGTTCGTAGTCTGTTCCAGTAAGATTACGATGCTAAATTAGGCTGCTGTTCTAAGCAGAGCGGGTCAGTTTCAGCTCACTGTTTGTTGTTTCTAAGCAGCCTTCGTCAAACAGACCAGAGTTCATTTTTATCCACTGTCTCCCTATTCCCTTGCAAGTTTATCCCAGAAGCTTAACCGCTTCAACTTCCAATTCAAATTGGAATTTAGGGATACTTCGTTATAGCTTTCTTTTACCCACATAGAGTAAGAACTATAGAAAATGACTATACCACTGCATTTCCAGATATGCCAGTATGATTACTTGTAAATGTTTGGTGTGGAATCACAGGGTCGATTCTAGGGTTCCAGGTGTCATATTGTAGTTTTGTATATACAGTACACAGTTCAATAAATTCACTGATTAAGACCAACTATGTTCTATACTATACACATTGTTAGCATCACTGTTATTACCTTGTACTCTGCTATTAGAGCTCAGAAGCTACCCAAAGCTGTGTGTCATTACAGGGTTTGGAGACCACTAAGAGAGATAGAGAGATCACTTTATTAGCCATATACAATTTCTTGCAGTAGGAATTTGTCTTTTCACATACCCCAGCTTGCTCTCCATGAGACACAAAGACGGGGAGAGAGAAACTTGGGGTCAGAGCAGAGGGTCAGCCATTTATACGGCACCCCTGGAGCAGCTGGGGTTAAGGGCCTTGCTCAGGGACCCAAAGGAGTAGAATTCCTCTGCCAGTCAAGGGATTTGAACCAGCAACCTTCCAGCCACAAGGGCAGATCCTTAGCCACAGAGCCACCACTCTGCCCTAAGGAAAGCCAGGTTGCTACTGCATGGGGTTTTGGAGGAAACATAGGAGACACTGCTCTATCTGGACCAGAATTTCCAATTCAGAGTCCCATATTGGTGATCAAAAACATTGCATTAGTGAAACCAATTAGTAGGGGTTCAGTGGAATAATATTTAAGAGATATCACTTAAGAATCTTGTTAATTAAAATAATTCTGAATAAAGTAGAACCTTTGTCAAGGCTTGCCATTAACAATGACCGCTGGCTCCCTATCACAGGTAACAGAGCCACTGATACAGATAAAGTTTAAATATGTTCTGAAAGCATAATCCCATTATTGCCAGCAATGCAATTTCAGATGTTATCAGGGTCATTTTTAAAGGATATGAGGATTACTCTGCTGTATGGAGAAGCCATTAGGTAATAAGAGAAAAGGGAAAGTAATACTATAAGGATAAAGTGAAGACTACCAGTGATGTTACAAGATAAAATTATTCAGAAAGGTAATGAAGAAATTGTGACAGCGGCCTAACAATCAGAATTTTCAAAATATAAAAGAATGAATCACGCACTGTAACAAGCACTGAGAGATGATTGCAAATCTTTTAGCTTCTTGCACACAACCCCTAATTTCTATTAAATTCTGCTTTTAGTAACAGTTTTGCTTCACTCTTGGCTCAAGGCGATATACTGCATAGAAAGGAGCAAATCCCTTTTAGCCTTGAGCAGAGATGATTATGATGCACCATAATACAATTATTCCAAATCCAGAAAGGCACTGACAAAGTCAACCCAGGACGTTTCTTCCGAGTGAACAGTGAAACATGAACCAGATGACGCAAGTAAAAAATAGTGAAGGAGCATAAAAAAACAGGACGCACTTGTTGGGCATTGTTGGTGTTGAAGCAGATACCCTCGCTTCTATGAGGAAACGACTGAATGAGATCCTAGGATCAATTAACTATGAACTGCCAAAGCAGATGGGATGGGCCAACTGGCCTTTCTCTCTTTGATAAACTTTGTTAGATTCTTACCCCAAAGACCTCCAGAAAAGAAGGATCTGCCTGTCCTCATGCTGCCCCAGACAGAAAGTACTTCAGACAATCATCAGTGCAAGTTGATCATCAAGCATGCTCTGTCCCAGCATATCATTACGTTTATGTCAGGCTCTGGGTCTGCTCAAAAGGGCAATGCAGGAATGCCACACCTCTTCCCCACTCATGCCAGGGATACGGAAAAGCTCACTGCCTTTGTTGCCGTAGTTAAGCAAAAAATAATAGCCCCTCCATAGCCCAGTAAAACTGTAACAGGCATATTAATATTTAATATTTATTAATTAACCATACTATTTGTAACCATACTATTTTTGCACTGTTCCAAGAATTACCTTGCACTGTTTTTGTCCTGTTATATTTTCTCTGTTTGCGGAATTTTGCAGTTTTGATTACTTGATTACATGTTATTTATGTTATGTTATTACATGTTACTGTTATTGCTATTGTGTAACTGTCTATTGTCTTATCTTCTGTCCTATTTATATATTGCACCTGAGTGACTAATGAGAAACACTTTTCATTATACTATGCACCTGTGTGAGTTTAATGACAATAAAGTTGAAAGTTGAAGTTGTAATAAAGCCTTTAAATTGTCGATAAATTCCAGGATAAACTGAAAGAGCTGGAGGATAAGGGGAGGTTGGTAAATGCCACAGGATACCCTCTTTTTATAGTGGCTACCTGGGCACAACGCATGAGAAAAAGCTAAGCTCGACAGCTCCATTACAAAACAATCTGCAGTTTATTCATAGTAATTCACAGTAGATCACACTTCATGCTGCGAATATCCTGTAACAGCGTGAGAATATCACTCATAATGTAACTCCCCCCTTTGCTTCAGATTTTTAATGATTTGAATCCACCACTGGGATATAAAATTAATTGGTCTGCGTCGAGTTGCTTTCCTTGAGCGCACTATTGAAAGAATGTGTTCTAGCTACAAAAGACATTTTACAGTACATATCATGAGGTAAAAATATATCCTTGTTGAAATTCAACTGTATTGTACAGAAGTCCATTAGAAATTTAATATGTTGTGATGAGATGGTATTGCACTATTACACAATACGCATTTGATTTTTGCGAGAATGTATTACATTATTTTGCAATAAAGTGTTATTATGAGATAATGTTGTAATCATGGCACCATCTGTTGTGCTGTTTTTCAAAAGTGCGTCATGTTACTTGTAGTTTGACATTATGAACTTGCTCATAAGCGCATTAGAACCTTCTCATATACTCGTATTTTATTTGTGAGTTGAAATGTTGCTGGCAACATTACTGAAAACATTCCATCTATATGTTCAAGATTTCGTTTAAGTCTCTTTGATTGTCGGACATAACTTATTTCTTAGTAATTAAACTTGTAGAATTAAACAAAACTGTGGGTTTCTTGAAAAACTACAGTATATCAAAACCAATATCAGCCCAAAGAATACTTACAACATCCCTTTAAAATTCTGTATAGCTTTAATGGTTCTCTTTCAATTCCAATACACAACCCAAGAATGATACAGTGAACGGTGGGGGATGAGAATGAAAATGTTACCCTGATGTGTTCTGTGTAACTACTGTATCTGTACTTCTGAAGAATCTGAGGTTGAAGTCCACATCATTACGTTCCTGTACACACTTCAGTATCTAGCTGGAATACCTCTTTTGCAAAAACTCCTATTTCCCAAAAAGAACATCACCTTTCTTACTTTGTCAGCATCTGGTCTTTGGATTCTCATACACATCCACAACTGCTAATTTTGTCATAATTTCAGCCCAGATGTCGATCTCAAACATTTATTCTTGGACCACCTCTTTTTGTGTATTTCCTTCATCAGCCTATCTGCTATTGTCATTTCAGGGTAGCCCTGTAATAGAATGATCTTCCAGTAGCTCCTGTATGTGACTTCAGAGATGCAAACGATGTCTAATGGGAGACCAGACAGTGCAGTCTTGGACAGTCTCTGACTCACAAGGAGAAATGAACGTCAGGAATCTGTCTGAAAGAATATTGATTACTTCAAACCGAATCTTTTCAAGGTAATTTCTTGCATGAACGTGCTTCCCTACCTGGGAAATACCCCCCATTGCTGATAAGCTACTAATATAATTCTTGTGATAGTTTCCCACTTAATCGTTCTAAAATTTTACCACAGATAAAAGCACTGTATAGGTGTTGCCAATTGTATTTCTGCTAGGAAACTCTTCCCGGAATTCTCCAAATGTGGCACATTAGACTCCACTCGCATTATTTGGCTCCTCTGCCTTGATGGTTGCCAAGAATCTTTTAATTATCAGTATCCCCCCCCCCAACTATATCTGGATCTTTTTCAAAAACCTTCCACCAAGACAGTTAGCAATCCCCCGTGTTATCACAGGCTTGTGTTCATTGAGGCAGGAGGCAGAGGCTGAAGCTACAGGAATGGTCTCGGATACAGTAGATCCTTAGTCTCAACCAAAGTTTTGCTCAAACGTATTCACATTCCTGTCATTAAGCGAAGATACGGGCACTGGTTCACTGGTAAACACTGTACAATAAGTGATACACGAACCTGTCCAACGTTTTGACACTGTATTGCTTTAGTACAGTATTATACTTTCATATTTGCCAGGAAACACAATTGTAGCACATGAAACCAATGTGGCTAAGAATAGCACTCAAACAGTTAAGTGCTGACAACTTTGGCTCGTGTTGCCTGTGTTTAGATTAAGATGCTCTTTTGGAGGTGGCTTCCTGACCCCAGCATACCAGAAAATTCAGCTGAACTTTCCAGAACTTCCTTTTCCTCCACTCTCTTAAACTTATGACGTTTTTTGAAACGAGACAATTACTTCCTCCAATGGAATAATGTTCGTCATGTTTTGATTGTTAAAGGTTTTTGATCTTTGTTTTGGCTTTCACATCGTTGCTTCATTATTCCACAATATTCAATATCTACTTCACAGCTCTAAAAGTTAGCAAGGCTCCATTAATGAAACCATCCAGTAGATTTACACCCCAAGGAAACCAGTGAAATAGTTCTGTTGTAGGTACTGGACAGAACAATCTTTCTGCCACTGTTTGAATGAGACAGGGCTGAATTGAAACCCCATCCCTCTTTAGGTTAGATCCATTTGAATGTTGTGTTTTAAAAAAAAAAAACAACCAAGAAATGCTCTTGATAAAAGCATTAACAGAATTAAGAGTGACCTCAAAAGACAGTGGCTTTTTATGCTCTTCTGAATTCAGGTTTTCAGGTTACTTATTTCTGTGGGATATAATCATTCTCTTGCACAAAGATTTTTCTATTATCCCCATAGGATTTTCCTTAAGCCAAATCTGTAAATCTCCACCTTTAACACTACATCTAAGCCATTCATGCTCACAAAGAGTCACCCTTTCAACCTTGCTAATGTGTCAATATGAATTAAGCTGGCTGACACGTGTCTAACCGCATTTCAGTACAGACTTGCACTGCTTAAACGAATACACATCCAAGCTGTGCCAACACCATTAATACCTTAAAGTTGTCTGCAAAGATCAACCTGTATAGTTGATGTTGCCTCCAGTGGGTTTCATAAATTCACTCTGATAAACAGATAATCAAATGCCTGATAAAAACCAAAAGAGCTAATAATTGTAAATTGTTCTGAACTACTGTGGGTAAAGGTTCTCTATAAATTAACAGCAATAAAGTATTAGGAACCAATGACGATCTCCCTGTATTGTTGAACACAGTGTAAGCTTTCTTTTGCTGGAATTATTTAATGAAAATAATTGCACCAGAGATCATTTGCTGTGTATAGAGCACATACTGTATGCACAGGTTTATAAAGACAACACATCAATCTGTTGGAGACAATCGCTGGCAATAGGGCACATGGGTCACAGCTAACAGCACTTGAACATGAGGCAGTATGTGCCATATTGCACGTACAGTACAGCTGCTTGTAAGTTTGGAGAGAATTTATGGTCTCAGGGTCCACTGTGAGGAATGTATGAGGACATTCCACACTGGACAAAAAGACACAGTGATACGAAACTAGAATTCTGCCCTAAAAGTAATCTCCCAGGATATCACCAACAGAACAGGTAACTCTCCACCTAGGAAATTGCATCCAGGAGAATTTTAAGCAAGAGACTCACAAGGCAATGCTTATATTGGCGAACAAACACTGACACTAAAGTGAAATACAGGTGCTGCAACATTTGAAATAATAAGTCTTAAAACACACCATTCCTTTTCAAAAGAAGGGTCCAGTAGACTTCCATCTGCATTCCTCTACTTTGTCTGGTAGTTTCATGTCATCATGACCTCCAGTATAGAGTAAATCATGGCACAGTGTAAAATGGAATGAAAGTTCAGGAACTGCAGAGATCCATTTCTCCTGCTGCAATAGCAGCTGCAATTGAAACACGTCACCCCCCTGAACCCTAGACAGTGTATAATTCTTCCAAGGCAGAAGCAAGCGACTCTGATCGAATCCTGGCACAATTCTGAGCTGCACTCATTACACAATGCAGGAGGAATGGCACAGTACTTTTTTGGCCATCTATGAAGAATTAGCGAATGTTATCTGCAGCAGTCATTTTTCCACTGCTGGTCATGGGTATACCTCCACTCAATGACCTCATGGACAGCTATTGTTTGTTGCTTTTATTTGTTGTTCCATTGCTTTTAGTACTTGCGTGTGTACAAGCCCTTAATGTCTTTGTTTTAATTTGTTTTAAAACGATACAAAACCGTTTTAAATATATCCATCAGAAGATCCAGAAGCAATGCATACTTCATCAAAAAGTGAAGCACCCTCGTCACGTTTATACATACTAGTACTGTACATACAACAGTTTTGTTCAAATTTCAAAGTGAATCTCTAAAAATGTTTTTTCCTCTCCCGACAGCTTTTAGACAAAGAAGAAAAGACTTGTCTAGGTAGACTATTGAAACAGGAACTTACAGTACACTGTTTGAAATGTGGGTGTGGGTGTTCTGTTACATAATCTTATGTACAAACGTAGGGTTTTCCAGCCTCCCTTAAATTTACAGTGAAAATATTTACTAACATTTACAGTGCTAACACCTGTGTTCTAT